TTCCAATTTTCTAAAAATCAGGTTTGTTTAGACAAGCAGTTGAAAATCTAGTTTAAACACATGCGTCAGAAAGCTGTGACAGCATCTTCATAATGTAAAGCTTATGGTACATTAAACTTTAAAAGAAAAGATGAGTTCCTGTTTTCATTTTATCAACCGTTTACAGGCAGCAAAAGGAAAGCCACAAAATAATGTTTGCACCCACAGCCAAGCATGGGAGACCCAACTCAGCATCTAGTTAAAATGAAAATGAATAATACTTTGCACAGCTACACTATAGCATCTTTCACTGTAGCATATCAAAGGGCTCTGCAGATACGAATTAAGCCTTTGAGATATTATTATCCCCATTTTGAAGATGAGGAGAAACAGCCACAGAAAGGTTAAGTGAATAGACTGCTAGTCTCCACATTGGGAGTTGGAAGAGGAAAGTCTGCTTAGGAGGAACTTTTCTGATAAATTACTATGATTAATTATTTGAGCCTTTGTCATAGATCAGGACCCTATTGTGCTAGGTATTGTGCAAACACAGAACAAAAAAAGACAGTAATTCATCAGAGTATCCATTTTGGTTATCAGAGAAATGGAGGGGGAAGAAGAGGACAGATTTTCAAGCGTGCTCAAAATGCAGCAGCATTCTGTGACATTTGGCCAGGTTTTCAACAGAATTCAGCACCCAGCGTGCTGAATGAACACTGAAAATGTGGCCAAATTAGTCCTTTTTGTATTTTGTAAAACTGTAAAGATTTAATTGGTTTAAAAACACAGGTTGCTAAATGAAGGACAAAAATAGTAACAGATGATAGCCACTATAAATGTTACCCACTTATTAAAAAAAAAAAAAAAAAAGACAGAGTGTACTTTCATGAAATAAACGTTTTACATCAGACCTGTGCATTTTGGGAATTTTGTGTAAAAAATGAAAGGGATGTGTGAGTAGAGTGTGATTTTTCAAAGGGTCATAACTCGGTGAAACCTAAAACGATTTTCTTCAGAAGACTCAAGGCAGCAAGGATCACCAGACAGTGGCGAGGTCATCAGTCATTTTATTCTAGACAGTTACCCCCATGTGCTGATTGGCTGCTTGCTCCAATCCCTCCTGGCCTTACCTCCCTCACAGTCACTCCACTTCTGCCTGACTCCACCTGCCCTCCATCCTTCCCTAATTTTTCCTCAGTCTCTTCTCCCTTCCCCAGCTGCCTGTTTACTTAGTCCCCTAACAAACCTCCAAAAATGATTTTTAAAAATTTGTAGAACTAACAAGACATTTGCCAGCATCACATTATTCACTCTTCTCTTATATCCCTTTGCCTCACCAGTGCTGACTTTTGTTCTTGCCAGCGGGTGCTCCTCTCTGCCCAGTCTCCTCCATTCAAGCAGCGTGCAGGGGCCTTGGGGGGCAGGGACATGAACGGGCCCCACAAAAGATTAATTCAGCCCTGCAGGTGCTGAGCACCCTCTATTTTTTTCAGTGGATGCTTGAGCCCCCGGAGCACCCACAGAGTTGGCACCTATGCTTTGCCTGCCTCTCCTCCCCACCTTCGCTTTATCTTGTTTATTTAGATTTAATCTCTTGGAGGCTGGGGCTGTCTCTTAGGCCTGGTCTACATTTAAAAGTTACGTTGACAGGGGTCAGGGGTATAAAATGTTGGTCAGAGGTATGAAACAAACTACCCCCAGACTGACATAGTTATGTTGACCTAACCCCCAGGGTAGATGCAGCTATACTAACGGGAGAGTGCTTCCATCAACGAAGCTGCTGTTGTTCAGGGAGGTGGTGTTCTTACAGAGATGGCAATTCCCCTTCCATTGCCGTAGGCTGTGTCTATATTACGGGGCAACGCCGCCATAACCACAGTGACGTAGATATGCCAGTACAGACATACTCTTACTCTCTGTTTGTATAGTGGCTAGCACAATGGGCCCTGATCTTGGCTGGTCTCTAAGCATTACTATAACATAAATCATACATTTCTGCTGAAGAGGTGTTTGAGATACATTGCAATCATTTCCCACTCCTTACATGCAAAATGGCTGAACCATTTTCACTCAAAATTAAACACGCAAATAAAAAGGAACCTTCAGGCAGAAGTCAGGCCTGAAAAATGAAAATTTCAGAAAGTTATAAGCAAATGAAAATAGGGGCTTAGAATGGAAACATTCATGGAATGTTAACAACGTAACTGCTCCTGCCATCATAGCCACGTGCAGTGACACTACAAAGGAGCTGCACAATGGCATATGCCGCATGAATGTAGCGAGTAAATGCTCTCTAGAATAATGGACACATTTCTATTAGCAGCCATATGCGTATTATTTTCAATAATTCCCTGCTTGCAAGGTTTCAGCCCTGAAGGAGTTTTTAATAACACACAGCAGAGCTAACAACTCCTTATAAATAGCAGCTAGGTTGGAAAAGGTTGATAGGCTTCTAACAAACAGCAGAAGCCACTTCTCTTCTTACGGCTGCAGATGGATTTCAAGCCACTAATCCTACAGCTTGAATCATTACATTTTACTGAAATAAACAACAAATGGATGGTGAAAAGATTATGTCCGCTAGGTGAACTTTCACCAGACAGCTCGGATAGGTTGCCCAACACATTCTACTAGAAGTTTGAGAAACACACTTTTCATTGAAATAATGACCTCCAGGCATCTGTATCCTTTAATTATCTAAGCTTGTATTAATACATCTCCACAGATCAGCAGCAAGAGTTATAATTGCAATTGCACTGGTAGTAAGTACCGTATTGTTAGAACTGCACAACACTCAGTCCAACTTCTTTCCCACAGTCTTAGAACACAACAAAACATGCATTTTTTTGAGAGGAAAACATTGGCTACTTGATCTCTAACCAAATGACGATTCCCCCCGCACACACACTTTCATAATTTTTAAACTCTTTTCCTGCTTCAAACAATTCTAACTACACTCTTTTAAACAAATCTATGCCCAAAAGAAATGAAGCTTGAAAGCTGAAGTTTGGCACAGGCTGTGGGTCAAATCCATGACTGACAAAACAGGAAATAATTCTTTTGACTTCATTAAGTCAATAGAGTTACATGGCTACTGATGCCAACAATGAATTTTGCCCAGGACTTAGGCCTTGTCTACACTACAGGGGAAATTTGATCTAAACTACGCAATTTGAGTTATGTGAATAGTGTAACTGAAGTCGATGTAGCTTAGACCTACTTACCGCGGGGTCCACACTACACGACGTTGACGGTAGACGCTCTCCTGTCGACTCCCCCTACTCTTCTCAATCCGATGGAGTACAGGAGTCGACGGGATAGCGATCTGGGGTCGATTTAGCAGGTCTTCACTAGAACCGTTAAATCAATCGCTGATGCATCAATTGCTGCTTGTCGATCCCCCAGGAAGTGTAGACAAGCCCTTAGTCTGAACAAATGATTGCTTTTGATTTAACAGAGAGTTAGGGACTCCTGAAAAGCGCACACACTGGACAGGGTCAGCATGTAGATTATATTATATTAAGAAATGCACACCTGACGGCAGATACATACACTTCTCAGAACTGTGCACTTTGGGAAGCTTGTTAAGAAGCAGTAATTGTGGCTTTGCCTGCAACCTCCCACCCCAATGGGGCTCTCCAGCCCCTTTTCTATCTCCCTAAATTGTTAGGGGTGGGGTTCCCCTCCTTGCAGCTGAAAGTGACCTATGGTCTAAACATCATGAACTAATCTGTGGGCCTGATCTTGCACTCCTGACTCAAGCAAAATCCTCATTGACGTCAATGGGAGTTTTGCTTTTAAACCACAATCCACACTGGACATTGGGTGTGCTGCAGCAAGAATCTTCAGAGCGATTTATCTGGATCTCAAAAAACAGACCACAAAACAGATGGGTTGGACTGTAACTTTTCAAAAGAGGTTTCGGTCAATTATTATTTTAAACCAAACTGGATCACCAACATATCTATTGAATACATTCTGCCAAACCACCTAGGGCCCAACCTCACTCCCTTTGAAGTCAGCAGGAGTTTCAATTGATTTAAATAGAGAAATGGATGAGGCCCTAAGAGATTCAAGAATCAAGGCACATGCAGACGAGCATCTCTCATTAACACACCTACAGAAACATCTGTAGTACCTACGGTGTTATTACTGCGTTTTATCTTTATTTTTGCTGGTGGTCTAAAGACTGTATTTAGCTTAGATTTCCTAACATTTTCCTGTATTCTCTTCCTTGGACACACAGAAACAAAGAACAATGGTTGATGATGGGGTGAGTGGGGAGGATTCGAGGCACAGCTCTAGTAAAAACAGAGATGGCAATAAACTATTGCTAATTTGCCTAATAGATAATCAGCACACGTAGGCAAGGTTCTTTGTCCACTGTAATCCAGTTCTTTCCTACTTTATAAGCCTCCCTCCGCATCCCCTACTATGTTTATGATTAGGTTGACAATCAGTCTACTATGTACTCAATGTGAGAAATAAAAAAAATAAGCAAGGGAACTCAAGTAGTGTTTACAGTGCTGGTAGGTTTGAGTTGAAAAGCCAAGCAAAGGGCATGGGTAAGATCAAGAGAGAAAAAGGTCCTTTGAGACTCTGCAAGTGACATTATACTTTTTTCCTTTTCAAATCTGACCACCTTCAACATCTCTCACATGAAAACTTAATGGGGATGAAACCAGGAGTTATTAACATAAATTTGATAGGTTTCTACAGAAATTACTCTAAAAACCTAGACTTTAATAGGGAAATTTAAAAAAACAAAATTAAAAAAAGAAACCTTTAGAAAAGACAAAATTCTCTCACAAATTTGACAAGATTTTCTAACAAGTGTCTATTTTATTCTTTTAATCTCTGCATCTGCCTCCACTCCAGCCTCTTAAAATGAAACACTAAGATATTTTGATTGAGGGGAGACACTTGTACTGAATTCCTGCTGGGAGAATCTACTCCTGGAGCTAATTTTTTGGCTGGCTTTCAGTATTACGTAGGTCTCATATTAGTATGAATACACTTACCAATAGAGTAACACTAGGAGGATCACCAGCAGAGCCACTGTTACTGTTGTTCCATTGATTTCCATGAAGACAAATTTCAAGAGATCTGCAAGCTCCATTTTCCTTCACTACACAATGCTGGGCTTGAGGTTGATGGGGAAGTCTCCTCAATAACAGATAAAACCTGCCAGTTACATGAATGACAGTCTGTAGTGAAACAGGAACCAAGAGAGCAAAGTCTGTCAAACCAACTCTAATTGTGAACTTTTCCTGTTCTCACTGACTGCACCCTCAGAGAGAGGCAGAAGTTAAGGGCTTCCTGTGTAATGGGATGAAGCAACGTTTTTTCCCCCCCTTAATGACTGTCGCATTAATAAATATTTACATAGCCACTGCTTGAAACATCAGAGCTGGCCCACAGGTTTGCAGCGGGGGAGGGGGGAATAAAAGAGGGAATATATCACGCGTATGTGGAATAGATTTGAAAAAAAATACCTCAGTGAATCCAGTGTGCTCTGTAAATAGAAAAGTTCATTTAAAATGTGAACAATCTGGCAACATACTACTGACGCATGGGAAAATTGCTCAATAGGCAGCCCTGGAAAGGGGCTGTCCATAGGAGAGGCTCAACAACAGCGCAAGCATCCTCTAGCGTCCCTCTAACGTGACTCAACCCTGACTTGAACGACCATCTCAAGAAGCAAAAGGGTAATTCTGCTTCCCTGCCAGTTCAGTCCTTGGTATCTCAAATTAGACAGTAAGCAGAGTTGAAAGTAGGGGGCATCTCTACGATGGGCACACAACTACTTACACATAAGCTATCAGATGCTAATGAATTTCAAATCACTAATGGTTTGAGCCATAGTTAAAAGTGACTTTCAAGTGAGAGACATCCTCCACCACCCAGGAGATTCCTGGTCCCTAGGGCCATCCAACATATTTTGTTATTATTTAAAGAAAAAATAGATATTGCACACAACCTATTTGAAAGTTATGCAAATTAAAATATTCCCAAAGAGAACTAGGTTTGTAAAGAAGTATTGGAGCATAAGCTTTCGTGGGTGAATGCCAACTTCATCGGATGCAAGTGGGATGAAGTGGGCATTCACCCATGAAAGCTTATGCTCCAATACTTCTGTTAGTCTTAAAGGTGCCACAGGACCCTCTGTTGCTTTTTACAGATTCAGACTAACACAGCTACCCCTATGATACTAAGTTTGTAAACTATCTAGTAACCTTAAGAACTAGACATTCTGCTCATCGGATTCCCATAACATACAAGACGAAAAGTAGTTTCTTCTTATACAGCCCCGAGATAACAGCTTAAATATAATGTGTGAGGCTTCTCCAACATCACTGTATTACATTTCCTTCTCTTATCAGAGAGGTTAATAATATAGGTATCAGAAAAGTAAAATCTCCAACGCAATAGAGTTTAATTTTAAGATGATCTGACTCTACTATAACTGAATTACTGCTTCACAACTACATTAATTCCTTTCCAGCGCTGGATCCTTACAAAATAAGTAAAAGGTGTTAACCAGCTCATCAGCTCCACAGAGTAGCACAGTAATTCACAGAAAACTTTGCTTACTGTATTAATAATGCCATTGCTTCCAGATGCTACTCTGGGTCAATAATAGCTCTGCCCGTTTGCTGTTGCCAAGTTGTCCGAGAACAATTGAATCACAATTCAAGACTGGACACATGAAGGATTAATCATTGGGCACACACTGATCCCAAATAGCACTGATCTCACTGGACCTTAGTTTATATGGAATATTTCTTAAAAGCTTCTTAAAAAAGGAGAATGATTAGTCACAAATCTTGAGAGCGAGACATTAGATATTTTGACTTTACTGCACTTCTTTGTTAAAGAGTACATATAGTTGCCCAAGGTAGACCTGATGCTTCTCCCAATGAAGGCAATGGCAAAACTTGTGTTGAGTTCAGTCAATACTGAGTTGGACCCAGATCTTGCTTGATTATTTTTAGAAGCTCAATGGAACTTTCCAGGATCATGCTTGGAGGAGGATGGGATGGATTTGTTCTTAAACACACACATAATGAAGTAAAATGGATTTTCAAAATCAGCATTCCATTTGGAAAAGAATGAATTAACAAGTAGTTTGATTGTTGTTGGGCACCGCATTTTTACACCTCTGCACCTGTTTCTTGCTAAAGTTTTTAACTTGGCATCTTCACCCAGATAGAGGGGAAGTCATACAACACTAATCCCAACACTCACCTGGAACATGCCTCACATGCCCATTCGTTACAAGGTATTTACAGTGATACCACAGTCAAGTTGCTAATTTCCCAAAAGAGACTTTGTCTCAAAGATCCAGCTGATGCCTTGTGGAAAACTTTGAGAAACATTCTATTTATAGAGCCTGTTTTCAGTATTTCTCTTCCCTCACCTCTTTGTTACAAGAGTCATCTGCATGAGAAACATGTTTATTGAAAGGTTTATTGAAGAGTTAATAGACTTATTTTTCCATCTCTACTCATAATCCTCTGCTGAATGACACAACATCTGGTTGGTATGAAAAGTACTATAATGTCAGTCAGGAGTATGTAACTTCATAGACGGGTAAGTTCTGTTCCTCTCATTCAAATGTCCGAGAAGGTTGAGGGGAGGTAGAAGGGGGAAGGAATCCTCTGCAGTCAGGGAGCAGAGCTACTCAGTGGCTGCTTACTGCAAGGTCAGGGCACAGCATGGTTCCACTCAGGTTGCAGCTCATGTATTCAGGGACAGGCAGGGGGAGTAGATCCACAAGGATCACAATCCATTGGCATTTATACTGCGCTCATCACTAGGACATCTTCTTCCATCCCAAATTCTCGTCCACCGCAGGAAAAACCCACAGGGCTCAGATCTGTTCCACAGAAACCTATGCTTGGGTGCTTCATATCCAGACACTTCCCATCTTCAACGTGCAGCAGAATCACATAATTAGAGAAATGCAACAGCAGCAGAACTAAAGTAGAGGAAAGGGCAGGATTTGGCCTGCACTGCAGAAGCAGCTGAAGTCTTACAGAGCAAGAGAGCCAGTTTACTTGTATGTGTTTACAGCAGTAAAAAGAAGAAGAAAAAAGGAAATACAGAAATTGCGTGACAAATACTAGAAATTGAACTGTTTCTCAGCTGAAAAATAGTCAAAGTTTTCCAGGAAGAGTTAATGATTTTAAAGCCTTGTCCACATGATCAGGAATAGTTTTTAAACACAGTTGCAACAGAACTAATTTCTAAATTGGAATGTAGCATAAATATTCTACCACGATGAAAACCTTCAAAATGCTTGCCATAGATTAGTGTAGTGGTGACACAGAAAATATGGAATAAATAATTAACAACGTTATAGATCTCAAGACATAGGCCAGAATCCCTGGCATAATTTAGGTCTAAGCTTTTAAAACATATCAAACAGCACATACTGTTTCTGTGTTTCATAGACAGGATATGTAGGTTGTGTAAAAGCTAAACTAACTTGGTTTAACCATAAACTCTTGCTAAGGGCTTGTCTACATTACCCGCTGGATCGATGGGCAGCAATCAATCCAGCAGGGGTCGATTTATCGTATCTAGTCTAGACAATAAATTGACCACCGAGCACTCTCCCGTCGACTTCGGTACTCCACCAGGGTGAGAGCAGCAGGCAGAGTCAACGGGAGAGCGTCAGCCATTGACTTACCGCAGTGAAGACACGGTAAGTAGATCTAAGTACGTCGACTTCAGCTAACGTTATTCATGTAGCTGAAGTTGCTTAACTTAGATCGATCCCCCCACCCCCAAGTGTAGACCAGGCCTAAGTTATGAAGTAAATTCCTTCTATTTTATATGCTTTATGTCTATATATTTGTAATGGACACACTGTAGAACTATCAATGTTATCTGATATAAATTCAGAAGGTATAATTTTATTACTAGATATAGGAAATCTAAAAAGGTGTCAATTAACATTTAAAAAGCTTAAGTATCTGATAGTTCTATCTAAAGCATTCTTTAATAGACCCCTTCAGTTCAAGGAAGTTTTGTAGCGTAAGCAACCTGATCACAAACCAAAGCAAATAGTTCGGCCCATGCTGTTTATTTTAACAGGGCCACCCAGAGGATTCAGGGGGCTTGGGGCAAAGCAATTTCGGGGGCCCCTTCCATAAAAAAAGTTGTAATACTATAGTAACATGTATTTGGAAATGTAAAAAATAACCAGTGAAATACATTCAAAAATTAATTTTAATAATTTGAAAATACATGAAATACATTATTTAAAAACATTAAATGCTTTAATGCTATGTATACATTTGCAATTACATAATGGGCTGTCACTGGGTGATGGTTGGTGCCAATGGGCTGTCGCTGCCTGGGGGTGGCGCTGCTATTGCCCAGGGCTGGGTGGGGAGTGTTGTCAGGGGGGTGTCCAGCTCAGAGGGGCTGGGCTCGGAGCTGGGGGTCAGGGCCCTGGGGCAGGGGTCAGGGGGGTGTCCGGCTCTGAGGGGCTTACCATGCTGCTTACTCCCACCTCCCCCTCTACCAGAGCCTCAGCGCACCGCGTCCAGGAGTGGCCCTGGACAGCGCTGCAGCGGCCTGGCTCCATGGGACCTGAGGTCCCGCCACTCGGCCCGGAGCTCAGAGCCCTGCCCCCTTACCATGCGGCTCTGAGCGGGAGGAGCTCAGGCCACGCCACTGCAGCGCTGTCCAGGGCCACTCCTAGACACAGCGTGCTGAGGCGATGGGGGAACGCGAAGGCGGAGGCAGGGGCTGGGGGAGCCTCCGTCATTCTTGTGGGGGCCCCTGCGGGGCCTGGGGCCTGAGGCAAATTGCCCCATTTGCCCCCCCCCATCCCCCGGGCGGCCCTGTATTTTAAATAGAAATGTGATCAATAAGATATATACAACTAATCTAACAAAAAGGTGTTTGTGTATAATACAAAACAAATACCTAATATATAAAGAACCTGATGTACTCAAGTGGAATATTGAGAAGCTAATGTGAAGGGCAAATCTTTAAGATGAACCAATCAAAATTTTCTAAGATCATAAAGCTTGATCAACAGTGTGCTTGGCAGCTGAACAGAGAGTTTCACACTTGAAGCCATTCTTCTAGTGTGAAGGTGTAGGGAATATTCAAGTACTGGTAAAGAAGTATGTGTTTCATATTATTGCATTAATTGTTATCTCCCA